TTTTTTTTGGGGGGGGGAGGGGGAGGAAAACCTGGTGATAAATGTAGATTTAAGAAATCGCTTGTTCCGCCAATAACATTGCATTTGCAGAGGTCAGAGTTTAATAATATGTTCTTGGTAGGGTCCTTTACGTTGACCCCAGCTCCTGGTGACCTTATCATAGGGGTTCTTGGCAAGGTTATTCAAAGCAAGTTTGCCATTGGCTTCCTCTGAGGCTGAGAATTTGTGACTTGTACAAGCTCACCAAGTAGGTTTCCATGCCTGAGCAAGGATTCAAACCCTCATCTCCCAGAGTCCTAGCCCAACATTCAAACCTATGTAGTAGTAGTAGTTGTTGTTGTTAACTGTCGCCAAGTTGACCTTAACTCATGCTGACCCAATTGAGGAGACATCTCCAAGACTCCCTGCCCTCTACTTCTCTACTTATCTCTTGTAGATTCAGGCTGTGATCTCCCTAACTGAGTCTATCCATCTGGCATGTGGTCTTTCTCTCTTTCTACTACCCTCAACCTTTCCTAGCATTATTGTTTTTTCAATGACTTGTTTCTTCCCATGATGTGGCCAAAGTACGACAGCCTCAGTGTCATCATCTTGGCTTCCAGGGAAAGTTCAGGCTTGATCTGCTGCAGGACCCATTTGTTCATCTTTTTGGCTGTCCATGGGATCCTCAGCATTCTTCTCCAGCACCACATTCTTTCAAATGCATTGATTTTCTTGCTGTCATCTTTCTTTGCATCCATACATGGTGATAGGGAATACAGTGGCCTAGTTTCTCTCTCTTCCTCCCACTTCCCCCCTTTGTCTTTAGTTTTTTTCAGCTGCTGCAAACGGAGTTCAAAATTTTCACTCAATTAACTCAGCAAGGGGGAAAGGAGAGAAAAGGGTGCAATCTTGCCCTTCCCAGTAGGCTATGGTCCAAAGCACACTGCAAAAATAATCCAGTTTGAGACCGCTTTAACTGCCGTGGCTCAATGCTAGCAGGGAATTATAGGAACTGTAGTTTTGTGAGACATTTACCCTTCTCTGTCAGAGTGCTCTGGTGTCACAATAAACTACAATTCCCAGGATTCCCTAGCACTGAGCCAGGGCAGTTAAAGCGGTCTCAAACTGGATTATTTCTGCAATGCATTTTGGATCTTCTAAGGCAAAATCAAACTTCTGCAACCTCTCCTAGCGTCTCTGTTTTTCCTCATTAATAACCCTTTCTGTTCGGACTTTTGACCACACTCTAAATTTGCTTATCCACATGTGTCCATTTTCATCTGTGAAATGTCTACGGGTGTAACATTTGAGTTTGAGAACCTCTATATTTGGATATTCTTATTTATGCATCCCTATGTTAGAAATCAAGGGAGCTACTGATGCTTTTGCAACTGACTTGCGGTCTTTTACAGAATGTGCTATTATCTTATCCCATTGTCTCTTTAAATAAGAAGGCCAACTGAGAGGTGATAGGACCTTAAAGGATGATCATGTGGATATATAATAGACTGCACAAATCATGAAGAGTTTAAATGCATTTCCATTGATCTCAGAGGCTTTCCTTGGGAAATGAAGTCTGGGAAATAAATTGCAGCTCCTTGTTAATTTGATAACATGACCCAAAACACACAAGTGCCCCCAAAATAGAATTTGCACATACTCTCGTCTGTATATGGATCTATGCAAGCATATTATTGAGTATAATATTGTATTAAGTTATAATAAAGCCACACCTTATGAGACTTTAAGATCAATAAAAAAAAAACCCAATACTAAAGCACTGGAAAGATGAGAGGGATGGTCTATAGGAGTGATTTGTTTTAAAACTCTCCACTATCCCCAGAAGCTGAGTTTGGGGTGAAAAAGGTTAATCTGAGAACTTTTGGCTCAACCCTGAGAAACCCAAGATTAGTGGGAATTAATGTAGCTTTGGAGGCTGATATTAATATTTCAAAATGTTGTTTGCCATGGTCAAATAAAGCTGTGAAGTACCTGGATGATTACATAACATTGAGTAAACATCAGATATTGAGGATTTATATAGCTATATTTATCTACTAGTAGCAAATAAGATAACAAACTATCTTCTTTTTAAAAAATAACCAGCATTGAAAAACCCTGGATAGGAGAGACAACGGCATTCAAGGTGAACAGCCTTTCTTGATTTCTTTTTATTTTGGCGACTATTCCAATTTTAATCTCCCCCAACACATACTTTTTTAAACATAGTAGAAAATGTTGCAAACTTTATCTGGGAAGGAAAGAATGTCTATTAAGAAAATACAAAACCAATATTGAAAACTTTATTATCAATGAGTATGACATTTGCGTAGTATGAGATGTTGTTGTTGTTGTTACGTGCCCGACTTATGGCAATCCTAAGGCCGTGAGGTTTTCTTGGCAAGATTTGTTCAGAGGGGGTTTGTCACTGCCTTACCCTGTGGCTGAGACTATGTGACTTGCCCAAGGTCACCCAGTGGGTTTTATGGCTGAGCCAGGAATTGAACCCAGATCTCCAGAGTTGTAGTCCAACATTCGTACCACTACACCATACTGGCTCCCATATGAGATTTTACTCCAGTCTTTTGCTGCCTGTAATGGCTTCATTCTGGGCTTAGTTTAAAGCATTTTAACCCATTAAAAGTTCTTCATACTTTGGGAGTTTGGTATCATCTACTCCCACATCCACTTACTTGTAACTCAGCCCATTCACACTATGAAAATAATCTAGGATTGAATCCAGGTTGAATCCTTGTTGTTCACACATGCCCCAAATGCACTCAATGCACTTTTTTGGAGGGGGAAGATGGCAAAGGAACCCACTTAACCAGGAATCAGGAATACTCGATACCGGGTTTTTCCCGAGTTTTCCTGATAGGTCTGAATCGATCTGCATCTTTGGCAGTGTAAATAAGCTTCCAAATTGATTCAGATCACTCTGTATCATTCCAGGGAATGTAAGCAGCTCCATTTTATCCCAAAACGATGGCACATGTGAATAACAAAGGGGTTACAATGACTCAAAGAGATTTGTGAATGCAAAACAACAAACCCGATATGCATTGGGAGCAGCATGGGAACAACACACCCAATATGTGAAGTCAAAGGCTTTCACGGCTGGCTTCCATAGGTTTTTGTGGGTTTTTCAGGCTGTGAGGCCGTGTTCTAGAAGAATGTATTCCTGATGTTTCGCCTGCATCTGTGGCTGATATCTTCAGAGAATGGTGGCATGGAGGTGTGGGGGGTATATATACTGTGTGTGAGCAGTATATATATTCAACCAAGGGTCACACAGTATATATACCCCCCACACCTCCATGCCACCATTCTCTGAAGATGCCATCCACAGATGCAGGTGAAACATCAGGAATACATTCTTCTAGAACACAGCCTCACAGCCCAAAAAACCTACAAAAACCTATGGATGCGAACCATGAAAGCCTTCGACTTCACATTCCTTGTTTTTGTTTCTGGCTCAGAAAATGCTTTTCTTTTCCTGCACAAAACGACCAACCACATGCACATTTTGCACAGAAGAAACCCCAGATTGCGATTCCCATCAGTCCAGGATTCCCTTGCATTTCTTTTTAACAATCTGATACTATTTTTAAATGATTTGTCCACTGTCTAGGAAAATTGTTTTGTAGGTTTCCAACGAGTACAAATAATAAATTACTACATGCAGTCTATTATTTATTAAGGCCCATGTCTAGCTACTAATCTCAGTTAGACCCAATAAATCAATGAGATTTACTCAAGTCCCGATCCACTGTTCAGCAGTAGATTCAATGAGTCTATTTTAGTTGGCTGAGAATGACAAATGCTATTTTGGTCTAAGATTGTCATACATACCCACCAAATTTGGCCTATGAATGCAGTTGCATACACATTTCCATTTGGGCTACTATAGGTTTGGTTGATTGTGCTGTAAATGTTCATAACATAAAGAATGGCTTATTTTTGGATGATACCCATTGGATAACTTTTGAATATTTATCCTAGCACTATAAGTTATCCTGTATAGTTGGAGTGACACATTGACCCTGAAATCAACACTAGAAGTTTGAGTGTAAACATACAGCTTCTTTATAAGTCTTTCAACTCCCAAGGAAATATCAATTTTATTTGTTCATACCCTTTCTTTAGGTGGTAATTAAATAAAAGCTAGGCTACATATGGAACAGGAAGGTTTATACAACAGAAGAGATTCATGAATTAACAAAATGAATAATAAACAGAATTGAATGTCTCCAGTATTTGTAGCAGCTAACTCAAGAAGAGTTTTTGTCTAAAGTAACAGCTAATGGAATAAAAACAAATACAGAGATTGGAATGTTCCTTTGTTAAAACAGTAATTTATCATTGCTTGTTAATTCTTCAAAGTAGGCTATTACCATTACTTATTGAAAGAGTAACATAAGAGCAATACATTACTAAAGTGTTACTACAGGGAAAGTGTCCCTTTTCTGAAATAATTGGGACTAGGATTCTTCTGATCAGAGTTTCTTGATATTCCACAAACATGTATTTTCAATTATTAAAAAATATATTTTTGAATATTCTTTCCATCACTACTTCAGTCCTTGTCCACTGTGCCTCCAACCATTATTTTGAACCTGCCTGCATTTGGTGGATCTTTCAATTCTAGTGGACATGAATGCTAATCCCCCAATCCTAAAGTCTGTCCATTCCTGTCATAGACACACTGTTACTCCTTTAGGTTATTCAGCATTTCTCTGTTTTGCTGGCTAGGTTTTACTGGGACCTGACAATGCTGCTCCTGATGGTTGGGAACTTGATCATCATACCCGTTGGCATCACCTTCTTCAAGGATGAGAACACCACACCATGGATCGTTTTCAACGTGGTCTCGGACACTTTCTTCCTCATTGACTTGGTCCTCAATTTCCGCACCGGGATTGTGGTGGAGGACAATACAGAGATCATCCTTGACCCCCAGAGGATTAAGATGAAGTACCTCAAGAGCTGGTTTGTGGTGGATTTTATCTCCTCCATCCCAGTAGACTACATTTTTCTGATTGTGGAGACACGCATTGATTCAGAGGTTTACAAGACGGCCCGGGCCCTCCGTATCGTCCGCTTCACCAAAATCCTCAGCCTTTTGCGTCTCCTGCGGTTATCCAGGCTCATACGCTACATCCATCAGTGGGAAGAGGTGAGCACAGATGGGCTACTGGCCAGCAGTCTGCTTTCTCTGTGAAAACATATTTTGAGCTATGGCATATTGTCTACTGCAGTGTATTATAAATTATCTGACATGGGTGGGTGTCATTCCCTCCCGCAACATGCCAGTGATGCAACAACTGTTTCTTGCTTTACTGAAGCTTGCCAGGGACTGGCCCTGGGTTCCAGCACTAGTCCATGGACCACCACTGAGTAACACTGATCTAGTTGGTTTTCCTGTGTTCATCTATACAACCTTTCTTCAACCTGGTGCCCTCCAAATATTTTGGATTCCCACTCTCATCAGCCCCAGCCGGGATGGTTAATAGTTGTGAACGACTGGAGGGTACCTAGTCTGAAGAGGCTGATCTGCACCCTGTAGCTCCTGGATGGGCAGATCAGAAGCATCAGCTAGTAGAATGGTTGAACATTTGCAGGAGATCAGCAATGGTTTCTCTGATAGCAAAAAGGCCTTTTCCTCCACCCAAGTAGGATATTAGAACTCCTGACTTAATAGCCTACTTGTAGTACAAGAGTTACACCATTAGTAACTCCAGTATAAATTTGTACTTGTGTATAGGACGGCCATGTGTCCTGTTGTATAGAGGGCAGTCCTTTGCTTGAAGGGCTGTCAGTCCTTTCTTTATAGTTGGTCCCTCTTTGAGGGCCAAATCATTGTTGTTTAAATCATTTAAGGAAGGAGATCATGGATTTTGGAGTTATTCATCCACAGTCAACACCGGGGGCTTTTTCATGGTACTGTTCTAGCACTATGATTCCATTTTTAACTGCCATGGCTGCATGCTATGGAATCCTGGGGTTGGTAGATTGGTGAGGCACTGGAGCTCTCTGGCTGAATCTTCCTCTTAAAAGTGCAAAATTGCATAGGGTGTTGGCTTGGCCCTTGAAATGGAATCATAGCACTATTATTGCTTAGTGTGAAAGGGCCCCTGGAGATCAGACTCAACAGTAGGCACACAGACCACCTGCCCATTGTCTTTAGCATGAGATGTATTATTTTAAATTACTAAAATAATTTTGCATCTCTGCTTAGAAATCAATGCATGCTGTTTTATGCAAATTGATGCACTCTTGTGTTCTCTTTTGGTGGCTTTTAAGTGAACACCCTACTTGGGTATGTAGATTACCCCATCGCAGGGTTCACAGACTCAACTCCCCTGAGCTTCCATTTTGCCTCTGAATTTAACCATCCAAGCTGCCATTTTGCATCTGTCTTTCTACCCCTTGAATGGCCGTTTACCATCTGGTTCTGCCATCTGAGCTGCTATTTTGCATTTGGCTTTTCCCTTCCTCCCCCCTTTGTCTTGCCATCTGATTTGTTAGGATACCATTGCGGTTCTAGTAAAAAGGCAGAATACAAGCTGCAATGGAGAATCCTCTGACAAGATGCTATCAGCAATGAGCAGATCATCTTCCACCATCCTTTCCCCCTATATATCTCCCTCTGTGCTTCCCATTTCAGGATGAAAGTTAGTGTCTCCAGCCTGTAGCTTGAGTAGCAGGCAGAATCACAGAAGCATCTGGATACATCCTTATTGCAAGACACAAAATGAGTATGGTGGTGCTGAAATCTTTGTAGGATCCCAGTGATTTTGATGCTAATGTCATCATTTCACATCTGGGGGATGCTTCTGTGATCGCGCCTGCTCTCCAAAAAGCACATAATGGCTATGAGAGGGGGGATTTAGAAAATGCTGTGTTGGAGGGAAACTTTGAGTACTGCAGAGGGAAGAAGGGAATGCCAACCCCCATTTGTTGTTGTTGTTGTTGTTGTTGTTGTATACCTTCAAGTCATTTCCACCTTATGGTGACCCGAAAGTGAAACTATCATAGGAATTTCTTGGCAAGATTTGTTCAGAGGAGGTTTGTGATTGCCTGCCCCTGAGGCTGAGAGAGTGTGAGTTGCCTAAGGTTACCCAGTAGGTTTCATGACCAAGCAAGGAATTGAGCTCTGGTCTCCAGAGTCATAGGAGATTATCAGATGGGAGTGAAAGACGTACTCATGGCAAAGTTGTGCAATTGTGCTGAAGATTTTCAGACACATCACACTTATCCAGGACTTAACCCATGAAGATCCAGGAATGCTCCAGCAATAAACCATTCATGAGGATGTCCTGGGAATGGTTTGTTGCTATACCATTCTTGGATCTTCATGGGTTAAGTCCTGGATAAGCGCAATGTCGTCGTCTGAAAATCTTCAGCGTGATTGTGCAACTTTGCCGGGAGTATGCCTTTTTCTTCCCTGATTTTCCTCCATCTGATAATCTCTGTAGTTCAGTGCTCACACTACTACACCATGCTGGCTCTCACCCCCATAGTGCCCCCAAAAGAACATATACACACATATATAGGA